AAATAATATTGATACATTTGAAACAAAAGCAATTTCAAATAATCAATTATTTCTTTGTTTTCTTATTTCAAATATGACTAAAGGAATAATCCTCCAAATAATATGCAACGATGAAAATCTTTACTTTAAGAAATCGTCGCATTTAAAAGGTTTTAGCTTCAAAAAGATTTAATCCAAAGAAATCTCGACAGCAATCTTCGAGCAACTGATTTTCTTAGTCATTGATTGTCGAGGCTCTGTCTAATTCTGCCTGATCAACGCTCAGACTGCGCACAAAAATGGACAATTTTGAAAGAGAGGATACGATTATTCGAGCCTCGCGGCTCGTTTCTTCCCAAATTGTTCATTTTTGTGCACAATCTGTGCGTTAATCAGCGAGGATTTACTGTATTTCGACCAAGCACCACGATAGATTCAACGAAATCGTAGCGTTTGCGTGATTAAAATTATAATATGCAACGAATCCAACCATAAGTTTCGCGCCGAAAGTTCGCTAGACAAGCTTCGTATTTTCGACAAAATCTTCAAGATCTAGCCTAACCTGTCTCTTCGATGTCATCACGGCGATAGCTGGATCGTGCTCCTCTTTTCTACCTCCGACGACCTTGGTACCGTTCGTTGACGACGGCGTTGCGTCGATCTTGATCGATCTCTGTCTGGATTTCGAGTAGCCCCTGTTTGTAGACAACAGGACCCATTGTCCGTCGCTGTTCCCGGGATAGCTCTGAGGATGATTGTTCACGTATTGATACTGGGAGAAGCCGGGGCTCTCGGTGGTGGGCCGAGGACGATCGTCGTAGCGATTTGGAAAATCATGCCAATCGTTGTTCTCTTCGGCTTGGTTCTTATCGGAGTACCGATCTAGAAACTGGTAGCTGGGCTTCGTGGGCTGCGGCGGCCTGTTCCAAGTGCTGGGAAAGTTCGCCGGACGATTGTCCGTGATTATGTCGCCGTTCGGGCGGTCGGTGTACTTGTTCCAGGATGGCCTCTCCGGCGGCCATTTCTGCGCCTGGTTCCCTTCGTTCTTGTCCGGATAATAGGAGGGACGTGTGGTGGTGAGCTTCTGCCACGGCTTTTCGTTGCTCGTCTCCGGCCACGTAGGCTTCGGTTTCTCCTGGTACCTGGAACATGCACGGTTCGTTAGAACTGGGGTAGGCGTCCCAGTTTCCATACCTGTCCCAATTTCCGTGACAACGGATTAAAAATGTATAGAGAAGGAGAAAGTTTTATATGTATAAATTGATGATGGTAGATATTTTTTATAATATAAAACTTTCCCTTTCCTGTACGTTTCTAATCCGTTTCTAAACCGGACACGGAAACTGGGACGTCTATCCTATCAGCTCTGGGATCTTTATGCGAAGTAAAATGCGTTCGCGAGTATTGCCAGAAATTGCAGTTAACGCCATAACCGTCGAACTAGACGAAATAATTGGTCCTTGATCTTTTTCTAGAATTTAAGCTTGACATTATAAAAATGTTTCTATGAAACATTTACTTTATATACAATTCAAAGTACTTTGAATATATATTTTAAAAATATTGAAGTAGGTTAAAGTACTTTAAATATATATTTTAAAAATATTAAAGTAGGTTAAAGTACTTTAAATATATATTTTAAATATATTAAAGTACTTTAGTGTACTTTAAATATATATTTTAAATATATTAAAGTATTTTAAAGTGCTTTAATATGTTTAAAATATATATTTAAAGTAAGTAATTTAATACATTAAAAATATATACTTAAAGTACTTTAAAATGCTTTAAATATATATTTTAAATATATTCAAGTACTTTAAAGTACTTTAAATATATATTATAAATATACTAAAGTAGTTTAAAGTACTTTAAATAAATATTTTGAATGTATCAAATTACTTTAAAGTACTTTAAATGCATATTTTAAATATATGTGTGAAAGTATTTTAAAATATATTTAATCTTGTCGTTGTTATAAAACAATATCGCGTTTAGGGCTCAGTAGTTTTTAGTGTCAAATAGAAATTAAATTCGATTGATCTATATGCAACACGAGTCACTATATAAATCAATAAGGACGGTTTAGCAGTGTGGTTAGAAAATAGTAAAATATACAATGAAGATTACTACAACGATATTAATCAACTATTGCAATGTCAATATATTAAAATGATATACGGAATCCATCTCATTAATTCTTTACCATTGTGTCAATTTTGATATCAAAGGTCAGACTATACTGTAGAAATGAGGGACGGATGAATGTTAAACAATCCGAAGTTTAACCCTTAGCACTCCGAACTATTCTGGACGTTGGCTACCAGCTACTCAGCGCCACTTTTCGGCAGAAACGGGCATTTACCGACCCTCGTATTATTTAGTATGGTTTTGGAACTAACATATAATGATATTGGACTTATATGAATTTGGCTGAAACCCAGAAATTTGCAAAAAAATCAATATTTTATTTTTTATAACTTTGTTATTGTTTGTTTTATAATTTTGTTTCGTTGTTGTAATCGCTATCTATGCGAACTCTTTCTCTCGTCGCCTTGTTGCTTGGACGATATCGCTATCACTGCTATCAAAACGATAGACTAACTGCAGAAGGAAACCTTCTACAATTAGTCTTTCTAACATATCTGTATAAATGTCTATCTGGAGCTCATCTTCGCTACTACTTGTGTCATGAGACTCATTCGTGTTTGAACGTTTCGTCATTGTTCTAATAAAAAATATGAATAAATACATAGGTTGAAAATTTCTAATTGTTATTACTAATTCACAAGATGATATGTACCAAAGAAACTTTTACCAAACAGTTTATTTACTAAAAGAAGAATCACTTTTCCGATTTTCTCACTCGTTAGATCCATCTATACCGCTCGACGCTTCAAACCAGACTGAGTTCAGCTTTGAAAATCTTTTCCTCCAGATTTTATGATTATAAATCTCACTATACGGTGCGTGCTATGTTCGCATACCGATCTTTCTTCTACAAACTTGCCTTATCGCTCTTTTCAAGTGGCGCCTTTGAAGTGCTCGGACTGTCGTGAGCAGGCCTCTCACGTTCTCGTCAAAACCCGCTGACATTTCTTGTATATATCTTAGTAATTTTGCTATATTTTGATTTGATTTCTTGTGCCATTTCAAGAGAGGGGACATCCGAGTGATATGCTAAGGGTTATTTAGGTAGTGGCTATAGCATTCGACGGACGAAGTTTCACTCTTAATAAGAATGAGTAGATTACCATGGCTTATTATTTTCATAGATTGGCCTAACAGCATAGTCAGAGGCCCACGGCTTTCCCATGCCGGGTTTCTCCCATGGCTTCACTTCCGGCCAGGGCCGTTGAGTTGTAGCAGTCGCCTGCCACTTGGAAATCTTGCTTTTTGACCAAGGAATTGCTTCCAGAGTGACCCAACCGTTTCGATCTTCGTACGAGTTTGCACCGTAGTACTTGTTCCTCTTCAGGGTGTCGTTCAAACCTTCGGTTAGCTGAAACCGATTTTACGAGCTTAATCGCGGTTCCAAATCTGTCCGCAACATGCAGATTGTGCATGTAGAGAAAATGATTTTCTCGTTTTAACAAAAGAAGTTTTTCTTTTTAATAAATGATAGATCGTGTTCGGCAGACCATCTAATTTTAACGAGGAAGCTTTTGCGTTTAATAATTACAACGGGGATCTAAATGGAAGTTAAAAATTGACTAACTTAATTGTCAGAAGCGGACATTAAATAAAAATGTACTTTTCCCAATAATTTTGATAGGTCGAAAATAATGTAACAATATTCTTAAACTCCCCTCCCCCCTTTCACAATTTCGTATTTCATAATCGTACTAACTTAATTGTCAGAAGCGGAAATTAAATAAATATGTATTTTTTTCGACAATTTTGATAAGTCGAAAATAATATAACAATATTCTTAAACTCTCTCCTCCTCTTTTCCATAATTTCGTGCTTCATAATCGTACTAACTTAATTGTCAGAAGCGAACATGAAATGAAAATGTACATTTTCCAATCATTTTGATAGGTCGAAAATAATATAAAAATATTCTTAAACTCTTTTTTCTTCACAATTTCGTACTTCATCTGTTCATCTTAAATGCCCTGCTTTTATTAAACATTGTTCCAACATTTCTCACGTGGATCGATGGCAAATAAATATTTAAAAGAGAAACAGTTCTACTCATTTGACAAACTTTCGTAGCCCGAATTTTTGATCAGACGGTCCCCTATCAAAATTCGATTTCTATTTTACAGAATCTCAACTTCTGGCCCAGTTCAATCATTTTTGCGCAATCGTGGTCGAAACTGTCGACCCGAGTGTCTTCCACCGAAACGTCGCCAATAAACCAAAAATCTTACCGCGTCTTCAGCTGACGTAGTGTTCTCCACGTTCGCGTCGAACTTAGTTTCGTGGTCATAGCTGACACTGGTCGGATGCGTGGTAGTGTCGTCCACTTCCAGGAGCAGAGGTTCTGCTGCAGGCTTCACGATCCTGAAGGGATACTTCGGATATTTCTCGGTGCTTCCTTTGATCCTGTTCGCGTATTCCTCGAGAAACTTGTTCAGCACGTCCGGATTGAACGTGGACGTCTCGAACATGTTCTTGTGCTCGTCCTCGAGCTTGATGTCCTTCGTTCTTCTTTCGTCGTCGGCCCGGAAGCTGCGCAGTTGGCTCGACGGAGCCGCCATCGAGTCCTCAAGGATTTCCGGACTCTCCATTCTTGTTCTGAACAGCTCCGACGCGTTCGTCCTCATCTTCACGAAGTATCTGGTGGCGCATTGGCTGCCGCTCAGGGTCAAGGTCACCAGGAGCAGGCAGATCGCTCCTCTCGGCAGCATCTGGAACGGAAGAGGAAAGTTGGAAAGAAACGCTTGCACTTTCGAAACTTTCCGGTCCTTTTCACTTTTTCGCGAAATCGCCGAGAGACTTGCACGTTTAAAATTTATTTATAGAGCTGTCCGGGGAACCCGAAGAGCGCCTTGACGCCTTTATTATCGGGCTGCGCGGCGTTCGCAGCTTTCCTTCTTGTGTCTCTATGTAATTAACTCGTACACATTCGCAACGGGGATAGTTACGCAAAAGATCCTCGGCAACCGCTGATACTTCACCTAGTTTCGGTTTATATACCTTCTTTTACGTTTTAGAGAAACGAGCCGTTTATTTTGAAAGTGGCATAAGTCACTTTTTCAAAAAAATCGAGTTAATGGTAACACTAATTACAATTGAACGGTATCTTCTCATTTTAAAAAGATTTGCAATCAATAAAAGTTGAGAACTATTGAGATTTGTTCGAAAGAAGTTTTGCTAATTAACGGTATAACAAACATGTTTATTTTGAAAGTGGCGTAAGTCGCTGTACTCGGGAAATTAATTGCGGGGCTTAGTGTAAAAGAAATAGAAACGTGTGATAAGTGTGTGTGAAGTATTGTTTTGAATTATTTTCAGTATTTTTAAAAAACTTGTGATCACTGGACTTATTTTGATAAGTGCGAAAGAATAGTGCAGTTTTGTAAATTATATTATAGTGATGCGGCGGCTACCTCCAGACCCGCCAGCAGATGGCTATAAAATGTTTTATAAATTAACTTTAAATGAAAAAGAAGAATTTCTAACTTTGGACTTGTCACCAAAAAGGGGAAGACCTAGGCGTTATTCACAAATAGAAATGGATCCGTTATACGCTGGATCTCGTCCTGTTTCTTCAGCAAAATACAAAGACATGATGGACTTGCTTAATTATATACCCCCAATATACCACAGTTATTTAAAAAATTTGAAACAAAACACGATTTCCGAGGACTTAATCACTCCTATTGATGACGAAAATTAAATTGAACTGATGTATTTTCATATAAATTACTTATACTTATGTTTCAAAATGTACTAATTATTTTTGTATTTTATGAATATTAAAATAAAAAATACTTAAATCAAACCTTTATATTAAATATGTTCATGGTATAAATTATTATTATATATGTAATTTATTCAACAATTTTAGTAAATCACTGTCCTTTCAAAACATCACTTCGGTAAAATACGTCGGACAAAATTAATATATGTCAGTCATTTTTCTAAACTATTTATTTTGAATGTGGCTCAAGTAACTTTACCGTAATGAGAAGTGGTGATTTTTTAATGTTTATACGAAATTATTTATACTGAGAAAAATAACAGTATCCTGAGATAACAAATACAAGTAAATCTTCTCGAAAGTTAGCATCCATATTTTGAAACGTGTTCAAACGCAAGCCCTTAAATATATCGACTTAAAAACAAAGTGACTTATGCCACTTCCAAAATAAACGGCTCAAATACACGAAGAACTTGCTTGAAAATACGCTCTAATGTCTGGCCATTTAAGTTGCATACTAATTAGAAGGCGGTGAAACTTTTTGCAGTGCCTGGCAACAGAAAATAGTCGAACTTTCGCTTGATCAAAATGTATGAATTAATAGGGCAATAATGTTTGAGATATAGATTTATCTTCTGTTAGTATATTGTTTGGTGGAGAGAAACAAAAGAACAACGCGAGATCTGGTAAATAAAGGTAGAAGGTCGATTTGTGTTTTTTAGATTTTCTAATATTCTGGTGGAAGTTCGTTTTAGATTTCAGCGGATGAAAAGAAACACTAGATATTTGTTAAACTTTGATACCTAGAATAATATAATTATATTTTCTATAAATAAAATTTTAGTGACGTTATTGAAAATNCTAATAATTTACTAATATTATTAGTAAATGCTAATAATTTACCAATATTATTAGTAAATGCTAATAATTTTATATTATTAGTGAATACTAATAATTTACTAATATTATTAGTAAATGCTAATAATTTACCAATATTATTAGTAAATGCTAATAATTTTATATTATTAGTGAATACTAACAATTTACTAATATTATTAGTAAATGCTAATAATTTACCAATATTATTAGTAAATGCTAATAATTTTATATTATTAGTGAATACTAATAATTTACTAATATTATTAGTAAATGCCAATAATTTTATATTATTAGTGCATGGCTCGGTGAATAATATCGTTCAAATAATTTCTTATTTTTCAATTCAAAGTTTATCCATCCAGAAGCTATATTGTAACGTATTTAAAAATTACAATCTTCATTTATCAAGACAATTATTATAAATTATAATCTACAATTGTATAAGTTACGTCATACTTAAAATTAAGACGTTTCCCTAACTTTCAAAAATCGGAATAATTTACAGTCTTAAAATTACAGGCACAAGGATCTGCTTTTTCAAGCCTACAAAAATATTCACGAATGCCATTAACATATTAATAATTGTTACAATAGAAACAAATACCGTTACGATAGCGTTTTCTATACTCTCAACAAAATTATCCAACAATGCAATAATTGTGGGAACACATATCAACGGTTCTTATTGTACTTTCCTTCCTACAAAATGTTCTTGTAACGAGCTTCAGATTTCCTTCCTACTTTCTTTTTTAATGACATATCCCCAGACGCACTAAAGTTTCTTCTCATAATTTGTATACCTTACTTATTTTATTACTGATTTCTCTATGTATGCGATACGCCACTTTTCCAACGTGAAATCACAATATTTCCAACTACTGTACTCGTTTCGTTACCTTTAACTAACCATTACTATTCAGTCGTAAAGTATTTACTTTACGCGTCGCCAATTAAGAATACACTATGAGCAATTTAATGGTATTCTTATTATTATACAAAACATAAATACTCGAGGCATGTGCCGTTTTATTTGTGTTACGGAGAAGCTTATATTTTGTTATTGATTCTTTATCTTTATGTTTACGAGAATGTTATTTATTCTACTTTTGCATTAATTGATCATTTACTTCGATCGATGTTTTCTTCTTTGAGTATACAGCGTATTAAAAAAGAAAGTTGTTTATAGTACGTTACTATTCCACTATTTATAGTGCTCACTGAGATACATCGATTGTGAACAGAGAAATTGATTGAGAAGTACGTTCAATATTGTCAGCATAAGATTATTATACCAGCATCAAGATGATTTGTTTCGCGAATGAAAATTTAATAATTCAAATCTACTTTGTCATAGCAAGTAGGTCTTATTATATTAATTATTATTAATAATTAGAGGTTTTATTATATTAAGAGGTTTTTATTATATTAATTATTATTTTTATTTGTGCGATTTATTTTTATGGGAACACTTGAAAGTAATGGTCTATTCGCCACCCATAAATAATGTGGAATAGAAAATACGTGTACATATAACGTGCATGTAAATATGTATGAATAGAAAATACGTGTCAAACAATAAGCTAATACTTGCAGATCTATGCCGATCAATGATCCGCAGGTGTGAACTTTGCATTGCAACAGAGTTATTAACTATTACTATTTCTTAGAAATTTAGAATCTTATTTTGGCAACGTTCTTTTACCAGGAAACCGCCCTTCTAGAGTGACGAAACTTTGCCGGTTTGGTTAGAATGTGATTCGAAGGAGCTCGAGAATTATAATGTTGCTAATTAGACGTGATATTGTTGTAATCTTTGGATATCGTGGAGGACTTGTTAGCCTTTCGCAGAAAAGTTTCGGCGAAACTTTCGCGGAGAGGCTTTAAGAAACTTTAGAAAATTTGAGAGAACTTTAAAAATTCTTTAGAAAATGATTTTAGAACAGTTCAAGGATGTCTTTGCATTATTTTCAATTTATTACGGTTACCAAAAAGGCAAAAGACATTCACATGGAAACTATATTCTTTACAATTATCTCAGATAATTTTTATTTTGCACGATGATCCGCGTCATATAGTCACAACTCGAGCCGTATATAATAGTATGTCGTATATCGTATTATAGTAGTTAATAGTTAATTTCTAAGTTATATGAAATACTTAGGGCGTCAAGGAAAGTTTGTATTATTGCATTTATGCAAAATAAAAAAATGTCGATGCCAGTCTAACAACATTATCTCACTTTATCGAATATTCTTGGATACCGAAAGTCGTTTTCTGTCGAAAGGATTCACTTTTGGTCCCATATTGATTCAACATTTTTTACTGGCTCGGGTGATTTCTATAGATCCTTAAAGCTCGAATCACTCTTTTTAACCATCTGTACGATATAATTCAGTATCAATAATGTTGGAACTCACTAAGCATATTATTGATATATTTTCAGGCACGAGGTTCGCGTTGGCTTTCGTTTTAAAATCGTTTTTAGAGCAATAACAATCGAAATTACAGGCTACCGTCACTTGTTTAGAGAGAACGACTTGCTGAATCGCGAAGCAAGTGCTTTGAACTTCTTCCAAAATCAATTTTCTCTCTCACGTTCCTAAATGTACGTCTCGAGTCGTGACTATGACGCGAATCATCATGCAAAATGAAACTTATCTGAGATAATTGTAAAGAATATAGCTTCCATGAGAATGTCTTTTGTCTTTTTGGTAACCGTAATAAATCGAAAATAATACAACAACATCCTTGAACTCTTCTGAAATCATTTTCTAAAGTTTTTTTCAAGTTCTCTCAAATGTTCTAAAGTTTCTTAAAGCCTCCCCTAAAGTTTCGCCGAAACTTTTCTGCGAAAGGCTAACAAGTCCGCCGCGATATCCAAAGATTACAACAAAATCACGTCTAATTAGCAACATTATAATTCTCGAGCTCCTTCGAATCACATTCTAACCAAACCGGCGAAGTTTCGTCACTCTAGAAGGGCGGTTCTCCTGGTAAAAGAACGTTGCCAAAATAAGATTCTAAATTTCTGAGACCGGTTTGTTCTAGGATAACCCTTTTAGTAGCCGACGGTCTATATATCCTTTAGAAAAGCGAACGTATCGGGTTTCGGGTACTAAAAGGATTAGCAACGTACAGCTAACAAAGATACGTCCACGTTCTCGGGAGGGGTGGGGGGGGGGGGAAGCAAATTGACCACTGTGCAGCACTGACCGTGTCGTTGATGGTCGTCGAACTTCCTGGCTAGGTCCAGCGCCGACTCTCGATCACGTGAACGATCAGGATCGGTTTCGGTACGGCCCGTTGGACACCGGAGATCCCGTTTCAAGGATCACGGAACGACGGTGTGCGGCACCGGTGTGGAACGAGTGCGTGTTTCCGCTCGACCTCGACTCTTCAAGGTCCGAGATGGCTCTGTCGCCGAGACGTTGCCCTCGTTTGCTTTTAATCCAGGTCCCCACTTCGTGGTGACTTGGTCCATTTTGTGTCTCGCTCTGTGCCAGCCAGTGCAGCCGGTCGACGCCTCGCGCACCTGGTCACCTGGAGAACGGACACAGTCTACAGTCATCCTTCTCTCCTATCTTGGGATCTATTCTTTCTTCTGTGCCCGGCTCCGCTGATAATTGTTCCGACAGCGGGAGAGGATCCGATCAGGCAATCGACGCGGCTCACGGCCGCCTACGATCTGGATCTCGGTTCATCTAGATCGTGACAAAGAGGAGGAAGTCTTCCGATTTAACTTCTAATTCACGCGGAACACATGATTTATCTTCAAATTCATGCGAAACACATGATTTAGGTTTACGTTATTGTGAAACACACGATTTAGCTTCAAACTCATGCGAAACACATGATCCAGCTTCAAATTCTCTCATCGTCGGGTTTACCGATTCTTTAGTCTCCCGATTGAAATATACGATTTACTTGTTTTTTTTCCTGTTTGTTTGTTTAGCGCAACAAAATAGAAGAGTCGATTCTGTAAGAAGCAGATTTTATACGAATTTTCTTTACTGATCGTTTTAATTAGTCAAAAGTAATGCGGTAATGTTCTTGATATTTTTTTAACGTCTTCACAGTTTTCGGTTTCATTTTCTCATTCTTGTCGCAGATCAAAAAATTTACTATTTTTGTTATACATGCTAAAATAAATAGATACAATTTGCTGTTTTATATGTGCTAATTTTTAAGTATCCGAGAGAAGATATGAAGAATTTCGAACGATTATTTGTATTATATTCTTATGTCATATTATTAGTTGATTTAGAAATTTAAAAATCGCCTCGGAATGTCAATATTGGAATGAAGGAGAACATTGTTGTTGTTCTAACATTCTGACAAAATTTGAGTATCGATGAATCCGATCTTTGCGATATTTCAATCCTCAAATCCAATGCAAAATTAGAATAAAAGAGAACATTGTTGTTGTTCTAACATTCTGATAAAATTTGAATTTTAATGAATCCGATCTTTGCGATATTCCAATCTTCAAATCCAATGCAAAATTAGAATAAAGGAGAACATTGTTGTTGTTCTAACATTCTGATAAAATTTGAATTTTGATGAATCCGATCTTTGCGATATTCCAATCCTCAAATCCAATGCAAAATTAGAATAAAAGAGAATATTGTTGTTGTTCTAACATTTTGATAAAATTTGAATTTTGATGAATTCGATCTTTGCGATATTCCAATCTTCAAATCCAATGCAAAATTAGAATAAAAGAGAACATTGTTGTTCTAACATTCTCATAAAATTTGAATTTTAATGAATCCGATCTTTGCGATATTCCAATCTTCAAATCCAATGCAAAATTAGAATAAAGGAGAACATTGTTGTTCTAACATTCTCATAAAATTTGAATTTTAATGAATCCGATCTTTGCGATATTCCAATCTTCAAATCCAATGCAAAATTAGAATAAAAGAGAATATTGTTGTTGTTCTAACATTTTGATAAAATTTGAATTTTGATGAATCCAATCTTTGCAATATTCCAATCTTCGAATCGACATTTGGATAACTAGTAAAAGTTTGAAGACCAATTACAGCACTACCATTATTTCAATAATTAGCACGCAATAATTAGAACGTTTCTGAGATACCTCGGGCATCTAATAAATATCGAGAACACGGAGAAATCTCATATCGAAATAGTTTAGCGAATCCTCTTCGTGCCGATCTTCGAATCCCTCGATTCTCGGCGACGTAAGAAAGAATTTCAACGAATGGAAATACGTTTTTCGCCTCGCGAGTGCTGCCTCCGCGGTGTGAACCGTCGTGAAAAAGCCTGGATTCGTCACGCACTAATTGCACCGGCGTGGACAATCAACGGCTGCTTTACACGCTGGTTTTTCTGGTTATGATTTGGAGTGTCAGTCATCGTCACCGAGTTGTTCCTAATTCCTCGAGAACTTCGGATTTCCTCGGATAGAAACCCGTCCTTTCGAACCAGCTAGAAACTGCTCCACCCTGAAGAAAATCGTTGGACGTCGTCGTGGTTTGTCGCTACATTTTTTAACCCTTTGCACTCGAGTGGTGCACTCCGAGGCAGCGCTAAAATTGTTAATTCACGTTCCAAGATGATTTTTATATTAATAAAGTTTAAATTTAACAAATTGTTAAAAGCATAACTGTCATCACAAGTCGTCGCAAGACTCAATTTCACATGCATAAAATGCACTTTGTCGTATCAAATGGAAATACCGTAAGGCAGGAAAATTATTTTAAATTTACAGTTAAAATGGCTTCGAGTTCAAAGGGTTAAAGGTAGTGTTCAACGTATTTTTGAACATCGATTCTTTTGCTTATTTATTTAATAAGCAAAGTATATTTGCGATTAAATTGCGAAGGTCGTACAAGGTCGTTCAAAGCTAAAACCGGAACCGCCAAAAGTATAGTAAGAGTATTCAAACTAACAGTCTCTCTCTCTCTCTCTCTCTCTCTCTCTCTCTCTCTCTTGTACACAACTTGAATGAATGAATTTGATACTGTTATATTTGTTAGAAGACCAGTTTCGCATAATTTTCCAAAATTATTATTACTAGACTTTGACCGTCTATTGACCGTCGCTATTTAGATCACTGCATTCGTCTCTCGAAACGCTATATCGGAACATAAATAATAAAAAAGACATATCGTTTCATTAAATGAAATCTCAGCTCTACACGCAAGGCTGCAATAAACGCGATGAAACAAGCAGAGGAATGAAAATTTTATCATAAAATAGAAAATAATTAAAATCGTATACGGAAATGAGCAATAAAACGAGTTGTGCAAATTACGAGAAGAAACTTTGGTGCGTCCGGATGTGTCGTTAAAAAAGAAAGTAGGAAGGAAGTCTTGAAGCGGGTTGGAGGGAAATTTTGTAGGAAGGAAAGTGCAAGAAGATCCATTGATAAGAGTGTCCCTGCAATTATTGCAATTGTTAGAGAATTTCGTTGGAATATTATAACAATAAAATATTAATATTATAAAAATAATATTAATTATATTATATACATATTTATATTATAAATATATATATATATAATATAATAATATATATATTATATTATTATAATTATTATAATATAATAATAATGTATTTATATATATATATATATATATTTATATTATAAAAATAATATGTCGTTCCAATATTTCTGTGAACTCGAAGAGCTTCATACTTCGTTATGAACCGCCATTATGATTTATTTGCAACGAACGTCCACGTTCTTTTGCATCGTTCAGTTAATTTAGAATACAAGGCATACGTTGTAAAAGTAAAAGTATTGAAAATCAGATCTTCAAAATTCTATTTTGATTAAATAGCGAATAGTAAAAACAATACAATAATGGTAACAGAGTGATTAGAATCCGTTTGACAGGCCAGTGTCGTCCATATAATTGGCGTTAGAGGAGTGTCCCTACAATTATTGCAATTGTTAGAGAATTTCGTGTTGGAATANAAGTGCAAGAAGATCCATTGATAAGAGTGTCCCTGCAATTATTGCAATTGTTAGAGAATTTCGTTGGAATATTATAATAATAAAATATTAATATTATAAAAATAATATTAATTATATTATATATATATAATAATAATATTATATTATTATATTATATATATTATATAATATATATATATATATTATTATATTATATTATTATATTATATATATTATATAATATATTATTATAATATAATAATAATTATATTATAATAGAATATTAATATTATAAAAATTATATGTCGTTCCAATATTTCTGTGAACTCGAATCGCTTCATACTTCGTTACGAACCGCCATTTTGATTTATTTGCAACGAACGTCCACGTTCTTTTGCATCGTTCAGTTAATGTAGCATACAAGGCATACGTTGTAAAAGTAAAAGTATTGAAAATCTGATCTTCAAAATTCTATTTTGATTAAATAGCGAATAGTAAAAACAATACAATAATGGTAACAGAGTGATTAGAATCCGTTTGACAGGCCAGCGTCGTCCATATAATTGGAGTTAGACGGACGTGAGATCGTAGGCGAGTTTTATGGCCAATAAATCATCGATTCGACCCTGTTCTCGCTGTAGGTGGCGCGGACCGACCGCGGGGATTCATTCGATCGTTCTCATGATTTTTGCGCTTTCTCGGCCCAGAAACCCATGGCTACATTTTTTGTTGTGCGTCGCAACACGCCGCCGTCGAGAGATTCTTGCTCGTTCGCGCGAGTGAAACGAACGTTTCCGTTTTACGAGCAGCTTCCGACCCGCGGGCCGGATTTTCACCGATCCCACATTTTTGCCATCCCGACCCACAAAACTAGGCTGCGTTCCTCTCTGTTATACAGCGCCCGTTCCGATTTTTATCGCGTCATTGGCTCGCGCGCGGTCTTCCTTTCCACCAACGGAAATCATCGAGGCTTTTTGCGTGGAAAATTGCCGGCTGCCGTGGTGGAATCGTGTACCATGACGGTTGGTAGGCGAATTCGACGATGGAAATTCTTCGACTGCATTGTACAACACCGCGGTTCTGTGGCAAATCGTCGTTTCTCTTCGCCTGGCATTAACACTGGATTTACGGAACCCGACGAAATGACGGGTCACTAATTTTTTCATTTTCATTATTCATATTCGTATCGTAAAGATACACTTATCTGTTATTTATTCAATCTTATACGTTACTTATGGCAAATGTTACACGATAACGCTTGTTAAAAATCAGAATGAATGCCTTATTGTTGCCTTTGTAAATCAATATAAAACAGCGTTTGGTTTTTGCGCTCCGTAAATCTAGTGTTAACTTTGCAGAAATGTGCGAATTACGAAAATGCGCGAATAATGTTGTTCCCATTTAAAACAACATTCTGTTGCAGTTCTATGACCGATCTTTCCGACGCCATAGATTAGAACCGGAATGATTTTGTTCATTATTTCGCTACTTTGCTTTTGCGACAAA